TCAACGATCCAGACACATCTCTGCTGAATATGGCGTTGAAATACGATACTGGGGTCTTTGTACAATAATTTGGATTTCACTATTCGGTTAATGTAGTCTGATACACAGCTATTTACTGCAGCCTCAAAAGGCTGCATATACAACAAGTCAACACTTCCTTTACACAAATCATTACCTATACAAGGACTGGATTTCATGCAGAGCATAAATTGGTATCTTGTTCCTTTATTTTGCAATTAACCACTTTTCTGTAACACATTTCAAAATGTAATCTCAAATGAACAATTTGATTGATGTAAATCAGCTCGCAGCAGACATTTTGTGTCAGTGCCATCACAGAAGAACCCGATCAAGGTTACTGATTTAATTGGCTGATGATTAATTTGCTGCACTGATTACAGAGGCTGAAATCGTGACTGATTAGCTGATCAGCCCTCCTGTGACATAAATGTCCTTTCAAACTTTATTATTCAGGAGCCACTTTAACTCTACGTGTAAATGTGGTTGGAAGGTTGCTGTGTCAGTATCAAGCTCAGCTATCTTTATTTTTTGTTCTTCATTCATTTTTGCTGAGCTTCTTTTCAAACCATTTGTTTTGCTTATTTACAGTAATATGTGTAAGTGAGGAAATAATTTCACTAAGATCTTTTTACTATCTTTGGTTGAAAACCTGACCACTGCTCTACACTGGAAGGCCTCTGTGTTTACTCTAAGTCTGTTTCCCCTTTTGTCTGTCTCCTCTTGCTAATATTCCTCTGTTTATCTAACTGAGTCTTCTTTCCTTTCATGCTGCTCTTTCCCACAACCCCTCTCTCTGACCCCTTCCCTTCCTCTGTCTTGTACTTGTCCCTGTCTTCTGTTTTCATCTCTCTCACTCCCCCTTGCTTTTTATTGGTGTGCCCCCTACTCATCCTCTCATCTGTACGTCTCTTCTCTCTTGCTCTCTCCACAAATCCGTCTTTCTGCCTGTCTTTATGTTTTACCTTCTCCCTCTCCATTCCTCTCCTTTACCCCGTCATGCCTCCACCCTTAGATGAATCGGAGGATGTCACCTCGGGGAGCTGGCTTTGGAAGTGGGCACAGGTCAGTCTTGTTGACCCTGCCCCGACCGTCTGAACTTGAATCTGACACTTGTTGGGGATACAAAAAAAATGTAAAACACACAATTCTTTGACATTTTCTATTTGTTGTAGCTCATCTTATACATAGCCTTTAAGACCAGTTTCACTTTCCATCCTATGAAAGTTGAAAATGACCATTGGATTAACTTAAAGTGATAGTTAAACATTTTGGGAAACACGTTTCTTCTGTCTTGTTGAGTATTATAGTTCGAGGTTAGCTGTGTCCCTCGCTAACAGTCTTCATGCTAACCTAAGCTAACCACTTAACACAAGAGTAGTATCAATGTTTTCATGTAACTCTCACAAAACAGGCTTATTTCTGAAAAATGTTCGACTACTCATTAAAGTGGTAAACGTCTCAGGTAGTGGTTAATGAAAGCCTGTGACATTTAGCATTTTCTAAAAGTACATTTTTTCATCTAGTTATTTTAGTATGTTCCGTGTTATTGGGTGTTCAGACTGGTTTCCCTTCTCTCCCTTCACTTCATCGTTCTCTGAGTTCATATCATTGACAACATGTCGTTATGAATGTCTGTTTATCTGTGTTTGTTTCTGTCCCTGTCTGTATCTGTTTCCTAGATTTTATTAAGGCTCTTCAAACTGTGCGTGCGTGCGTGCGTGCGTGCTGAGGTGTCCTCCTTTGGCATCAGACAGGAAATTGATTAGTGCAGCACTATCAGATCATGACGACAACGGCAACAATAACAACAACAGCATCAGCATGTGTTGCTAAATGACCATGTGATGTTGCAAATATTGAAATAATGTCTGTAACAAATCACTTTATTTTGTTTTGTTTCTGTCATTGGCGATGATGGGGATTCTCATGACTTAGACAGGCGTTAAGATAATGGTAATAACTAATGATTATGTAATGGTAATACTGATGTAAGCCTCTCAGCATGTCAACAAACTCAGGAATGTTCCATCTGTTTCTATAATACACGCTCACTGTAAACATGGTTGACAAGAAGCTCTCCAGAGCCTGTTCACACTAACAACAAACACAGAAAGTATACGGCTGTCCCGTGAACTCTCTAAAAAGGAATTGCAGAGACATCAATTCCTCCGCCATATGAAAACATACTGTACTGTAGTGTTTTGCCAAAACAACCCCAACTCAAGGTCCACTTACTTGCTTTTCCTGGAGCTATCAACCGTATTACACGGTCGTTATAAATGGATGGAGTTTGCTCAGTTGTCATGGAGACGGGTCTGTTGATAAACAAGCTCAATGGGTGTTATGATTTTATTCACAGTATTTTAAGGACTTTGTTGGCTCATAGTTAGGCGAACTACGTTTGTGGTTTTACTTGGTCCCAGGCTCTTTGGTTATGTAATATGTGAGGCATAAAATTATATTAATTTCAATATTATTACTAGATCTTAGTCATTTTACATGGTGGGTTTTATTAATAGCTTCGCTGCTCTGAGAAAGTGTGTTTCCTCTGGATTACATATAGAAAAAAAGATCTCTTGCAGAAAGTTGGGTATAGGAAAATCAGTACCACTCTCATATCTATATGTGAAGCTTGAGCCAGCAGGAGATTAGCTTAGTTTAGATTAGCATAAAGACTTAAAGCAGGGAAAAACTCTGACCAACCAAACAAATGTGAAGTTTGGTTATTAACACCTCACATCTCTTTTGTTTAAAACACTAACATAAAATAACAAGTTGCAAGTTTACAAGTAGTCAGTCATCATTCTGTCACTTTTTCTATAGCACAAAGCTCCCTGTAGGATCATAACTTGTGGTTTTTACACTTTGGTTTTTGTACATATTAAACAGTAACATGTAATGTGTTAATTATTGAGATTATTGCCAGGTTTAACCTTCAGTCAGGCTAGCTGGTTCCCCCTGCTTCCATGCTAAACTACTGATTTCCTGTGGCTCTGTCATATTTAACTGATCAATCTTAGAATCTAAATCTCAGCAAGTAGCAAATTTAAATGTATTCTCCCAAAATGTCAAACTGTTCCTTTAAGTTCAGGATACTAGATTGTGGACAATGTCACAGACAGCAGAATTCAGAATTGAATTTGGATTGTTTCCCCCCCTTTTTTTAATCCTGTGTAAATTACATCCAATCTACAAGTTTGAGAACACGGTTCTCTTTTGTTCTGTGTGCATTTGTTTTATTAGTTACTTAGACACCTTCCAGTAACAAACATGCACAACCAAAATAAAAACATCAGTTATAACATGTACATGTACTTTCACTAATAGGATATTTAATGATCTACTAGTCCTTTATAGATTTCCCATGGCCCATTAGCTTTTGAAATCTCTATTTGCCCATGAAGCCAATCTGTTATTGAATTTTGAAAAACAGTGAACAGCAGCTTTTTATCTAGCTGACCTCGATGTCCTTTTGACCTGTCCCCACTTATGTGGTATTGCGCATCTGCATAGCCTTGCAGCCCATCACATCACATGTTTGGGAAGCCTGATGGTTTGAAGCTTATAGTTCTCTGTTGTAATGAAAAGTTCCTTATGAAGTTTGGCCTAAGAAAACATTCCCCTCTCTCCTCTCCGCTCTCCAAATAATTTTCTCATGACCTCCATAGATTCTCTGAGAACAGCTCCACCAAATTAAAGGTGACAGAGCAACAATTATTCTGTGATATCAATTTACTGAAAACCATATCAGTAATGATTCAGCTTCCTGCCAAACTGCAGAGGAAATCGTGTTCATACAGTGCATAGCTAATTAGATTTGCGACTCGAATAGGGAGTCATGTAAAACTTGGTGAATTAATGGTCCCTCTGTATGAGAGAGTAGCTAACTGGTTCAGCATGCTGGGGCTGAACTCTCACATGACCTCAAACTTCCTGTCTGCTGGAGAGGGTTCAGTAATAGCCTTGTGAAATAAAGTGAAGTGACTGATTCAAAAGTCCAAATTAAACTGTGTTTTTGCAGATGATTGCTGAGACACTTCACATAATTTTGAAACTCACCTGATACTGAGATCTGATACTTTCATCTCGTACAGTAAAGTTTGACTAAGCAGCTCAAATGTAATGCACCCCACACTGCTGCAATATGAGAGAGAGGTTTGCGAAGATCCTTCATGCCTGTTTGAGTTGCTGGGCATCTGCTGGTGCTCAGAGGTGAACAGAAGTGGATGGCAGAGCGGAGCAGAACACTGGAAACATAGCTGAGATGCCTGTGTTGAGACTGTTTGGATTGTCGTGAGGGATTGGACTGGAGATTGGATTTGGATCGGACTGAAGAGAAGCATACCAGCTTGGATTGGAACACAAGTTTAAACAACATTTGAAGTTCAGCTCAACAATTTAAGAGACACCACACATGTTCATCTTTTAAGGAATAACGAAAGTGATTGATGTTGATGCATTCGAGAGTTTGTCCAGCAGGTTTTGAAATTATTTTATAAGGCGGTAGCTTGTTACAGGCGACGATGCAATCCTTTCAAATGATTAGTCTGTCTGTTCAGTCCTTTTGCGATTTCAGATTTCACCATCCGCGCATGCCAAGGCACTTTTACTAGCAGTCACGACGCTCCCAAATGGGACTTTAATCACATTGTAATCCAGCGAGCCTGATCACATTGCAAGTGGTCAGGCTGGCATATGAGCGATATAAGGAGATAGAGGAGGATTAAGATAAATACGGCACCAGGAGAAAACAACCTAGATATTTTCAGACCACTTGACTGACCGATGATTCAGTAATGATCTGTGTTATTGTCAGAAAAGCATGAGCATCCTGCCTCACCTTAATTTTTTGGTCAGGTTTTATCTATGTACTGCTGTATTCCTCTTTGTATCATTATAATTATTAATAAATTACCATACAAAAGTGTTTTTAAGGATCAGTTATGCTTATCATCTGTCTCCCTCTGTCTCCCTCACAGCAGTGACAGTGCTGCCATGGCATCAGGAGCTCCGGATGTGATGGCTAATCAGGAGCCTGCTGAGGCCCAGGAAGAGTGCTCAGGTAACAATTTTATTGACTGTTCATTTGGGGTTTCATCAGATAGATAATTTCATGCATTATTATGTATTCAGAGTGTCTCTGTTCACTGAAATCACATGAATGAAAACTTTACATGGTTTTACCCTACGTCATTTTTGCTTGAATGTGTATATAATTGACTAATAATTTTAGTTTCCATGATTATTGACTTACATGGATCTATTTGTAATGCACAGACAAGTGTTTAAGTAAGAGTTTAAATATTTCAACCCTATCATATAGGAAATTCTTGCATATAAATAGATCAACCAAGTATAAAATTGTACAAATGCAACTGTAGTATTTGCTCCAAAACAGCAGCAATCAAACTGGAAAAATTTAACTTCAACACCCAGAAATCCTTCAGGATGAGAAGATGGTACAGAGTACTCTTTGATGCCTTGTACCAAAAGACACTGACATGTATAAAGTGTATTTTTGTTCTCAGGTTTTGTTGTATTGGATATGGCGGCCCAAAAATGACTTGGGAAAAAGTTTGACAAAGTTTTTATTTATTCTATTCATTTATTTCTTTCCTATGTCACCTTTGAGACCCCATATCCAGGACCTATTGAGTGCATATTGTGCAAATCCTCAGGGTCCCACATTGTAGGCACAGCCACAAAAGTGGAACATTAACTTTTTAAACTTTGCATGTGATATAAACTCAGTCTCAGGAACTGTAGTTTCTGCCTAGGATAAAGATTAGACACTATATTAGTGTCAGAATAGGGTGGATGCCAGTACATGGAAGTCTACAATATATCAGCAATGAGATTTTATACACACACACACACACACACACACACACACACACACACACACACACACACACACACACACAGAGAGAGAGAGAGAGCAGAGATCAGGCCAGGCTTATCAATTCAGATCTCCTTACTGCTGCTGGCAGGAAATAAAGGAATAGGGAAAGCTATCATCATCTCCAAACACACACAAACACACACACACACACACACACACACACACACACACTGTCTGTACAGATAGACAGCAATATGCTGCTGATATGATGGGGACAAGGAAGAAGTGCATGGGGGGGTCAGAGATCTGTCTGTGTGGATGAAGCCACAGTGGGAATTTTAATTGGAGTGCTGTTGGGATTATCACAGACACAACATGAGCTGTGGTCCAACAAAGTGGACGATCTATCTAGTGGAAATCTATTATGTGTATGTATGTATTATGTATGTATGTCTGCTAGGTTTGGTGACTCACTTCTGATTGGTTTCTATAGTAGAGCTGAAGATCAGGTGTGACTCCACAGTTCATTGAGTGTACCATTCATGTCCATCTCAATCTGTTGGTGTTAACCCAGTGATGGTGCCAGACATACATACAGCTGCTCTCTGATTGGCCCCTGGTAGAATGAGCTGTCTTTTAATTGGATCAGCAGTTAGAGAGGCCTGGAGTCTTTAAACAGACAGGAGACACGTTTGGTGCTTCTTTCTTCATCCCTTTCATTCAGTTTATTGTCATTTTAAAGCAACTGAAATCTAGGTTTCAAATCTGAAGTATTTTCTTCTTAACTCAGTATTTATCACATGACGAATACGTGTTGGTTAACTTTTGGTTAAAGTTGTAATTACCTGGAAAAAGAAATTGCTAGCTAATGCTAGCCAGATGCCTCCTTTCTATAAAGCAGGAAAATAAATAAATAGAGCAGCACTTATCAGATAGGTGAAATAGCATGAAAAAAGTTGAATGTGTCGTAGGACTCATTGCTAACATTTGCAAGCTAAGCTAACCAGCTTCTACTTCCAGGTGGAATAGGAGCTCGACAGCTCACTGGGATCTCCCCAAGGATGAATTTTGCAAACAGATGGACACTTAATCACTAATAGCAGATAGCTTACACTGGGTTGACTTGTTAAAAGAGGGAAAAATGTTTCATTAAATGATGACGCACTTTAGACGTTGACAGTGTGTCTGCTAGCACACACTGTTATCAGTCAGCTTCTCGGAAACACCCACTCACAAGGCTTGACGGTTCGATGCTGTTCCCACAAATGCTGTTCCAAAAACGGTTTCATCCTCTTGTGAAACAGCGTGATAGCTGTAACATCTTAAGTATTATCATTCTTTTTCATATTTCCATAATACAACATTTCCAAACACAGCTAATCTGCTTCATCAGACCTGTGTTGACTGACAACACAAACAAACAGCCGTACAACTTATTCAAATACTGCTAAAGCCCTATCTACTTCAGGCCTTTGAGAAGAGCATGAATACAGAAATATCTCACGTGAATATAGTAACATCAACCTGTTCTCTATATGCATGAGACTGTACCGCATACCCTCTACCTCCTCTTCATCCTCACCTCTGCTTCTCCTCTTCCTTCCCCCCTCCTTGATCCTCCCCCTGGCAGTGAATAGAAAATGAAACGCATCACTTTTGGGGACTTTTTTTTTTTTTTTTTTTTTACTTGCCAAATGGAAAGAAGGTTTTACGTCCCTTCTGTTGCTCCTTTTTCTCACTCTGTCCACATTGTTCCCCTGTCAAAGGTCACAATCTCCTTATTGTGTAAGCTGAGGTCAGTTCCCCCTAATATTGACCTTAGACTGCCTTAAAATTCCCATGAGGCTATTGTGAGTATGAGTGTGTGTGCTCATGTTTGGGATTGAAAGAATGCATGTTGGGAAATTACAGTATCTATTACAATCACCATAGTGCTACACTGACCTTCCATTGAAGCGCTGGCCTTTTTCAGCTCTCTATGAGTGCAGACCTTTAGCTTAATAGTGTATTGTGCCTAAAATAGCACAATAAATGGCACTGACTGCTGGTGTTTCCCACTGATTTTTTTTCATCTTGGCAGTGCAGAGGCCTCTGAAGCGTCACCAAGAGCATGTTGGATGCTCCTCAAGTAAACAGAGCAGTTCACTAAGTGGTGTCAGACAAAAGAGTGGAGAATTTTCCGTCAACATTTCTTGACAAAAATTGGATGGAATTTATTTATAATGTGTGGCTTTATGGCAGCTCATCATAATAGCTATATATATGTGCTATATTTATCCATCCCTGCAGAAAAGACAGCTTGTGACTTGTAGCTATATTTGGGATTTTACTTTCTGTGTCTAAGACTTTGCAATAGCCCCTTACATGAACTGTATGTATGTAATAAATAATAACATGAATAAATTCAGGTGAATGGGAAAGTGGCCTCAAACTTTTACACCCCAAAGTACATTGTTAAATAAATCAGCTTAATCATTTTGTGACGTCTAGTTGAGCAAATGACCTAGAAATTTTAAGCATCTTGGCCCCAGCACCAGGTTTAGATTCCAGACATTTTTCAGCTCCAACCAGAAAGTATATTTTTAGGGAAAAGAAGGAATGCTGAAGGATCCCCCACTGGGAGAAGGACAAAAATGACAAAGCTAGTATAAAAAGAGTGTGTCTCTTTTTTTAAGTCTCTTCTAAAGCTATTTTATGGCCCAGAGATGTGAATTCTCAAAATAGTTAGATGTGTTGTTTTTCTTGCAGCTCCTCCTTTGTTCACAGTTCCTTTTTTGTATCTTTGCCTCTATGTTGTGTCTCAACACTGTACAGTCTCTGGGGGTTAATATATCCATATACAGGGACAGTATATCCATTCATTTCTCCACTGGAGATGATTCAAATGTGATTTTGTAACAATGAAGATTTGTCAGTCTCTGATGAGTTACTTTTAATTGTCTGTATTGTCGTGTTCATTTGCAATCCCTGGTCAAGTGAGAAGTCATGGAGTCTAATATTGTGTGCTAGGAAGCTGTACTAATGAGTTTCCTTTAGCAATAATAGAGGGTCGCCTAGTGAGCACAGATTTAGCATTACACATTAAATCATTGTCAGACTCACAATGGATGAAGAAAAAAAGTATCAAAATTGATGCAAAGGGACCCAAATATCGCCCTTTTAAGCCACACATTCTTTCTCCTTGTCGAACCCTGTTACCCACAATGCAACCACGACAGTTTGGTTAGAGATTCAGGTGTGTTATGCTAGTAGCGGCTAATGTAGCCTTGAGCTTCAAGCAGAGATGAGGAGCCGGCTACAGAGGTCTGGTAACCTCACTTCGTTCAAACAGGAAGTCTTAATCCCCAACTGCCGCTGACCTAAGTGACATCACTCGAGGTAATTTAGACAGACTTTCACGTGTAAAATCTGAGGGACTTAACCTTTTAAAAGCCAAAGACCAACCGTGCTAAGGTGCACCGTCACAGAGCTGCAAGCATGGCTGTAGACTTGCATTTTTCATGGTACTCACTGTGTAATGTGAATCAAGAACTAAACACTGAGACAGCCCTGTTGACTGTGGGGCAGAGAGGGGACCACTGGGCATTTCAAGCTCTGGGTGAATGCCCTGCTGACTGGAAGCAATGAAAGCCGTTTGTAGCTGTTTAAGGGGTTATAAAAGAGTTGTTGAGTTTTTCCACTGCGGCGCTAATGGACGTGCACTCACGGGGGGGGAGGGTTTACAAGCACAAGTCTGTGTGTGTTTATCTGTCTTTATGTCTGTGCACACACATCAGTCTGTGTGTGGTTTCTCCTACCTGGGCTTTTACCGCCAACACAGGGCTAATTACTCAAACTAGAGTTCATATGAGGGCAGTGCGTAAAGATGCTGTGTGTGTAATTTTCTCATTAACATATCACTGTGCAGTTCGTTGTAACGATTCACTGTAGTGCTGTCAGGAGGATGAAACTGTGATCAGGGTTTAACCACTTTCTTTCATCGTCTTTCTTTCTATCTGTTTACTCATCTCTCCTCTCAGGAAAGAAAAAGTCCAAGTTCCAGACGTTTAAAAAATTCTTCACCAGGAAGAAGAGGAAGGAGCCGTCAGCTGCTGGAGCCGACGTGGGGCTTAAAGCCAGCCAATCGAGCGACAATGTCAGCAAAACGTCAGAGAACAACACGCTCACTAGATCGGAGAAGGATAAGGGCTCCGGGTAAGATCAGACCCACAGACATACTGTACATATAGAAATACACACAGGAAACCGTGACTGCAGAGCTCTTACCTTCATACACACACTGCAAATGACGGGTCTAATATCAACAGTGTTTAGGTGTGGTTTATTTATTATGAGAAATAGATACTGCATTTAAACTGCTCCCTTTATCTCAGCAGCTAAAACACCATGAAACAAAAACAGTTCCTCTCTCCGTGTAGATAAATATCTCCTCTTGTGTTAAAAGGGCAGAGATAGTTTAAGAAAGGAAGATCATGTTTTAACATCCATCTCCTGTTCTGCCAAACTCACCTCAGTTGGAGGCTCATGACTTCCTGTTTTCATAAGAAGTGGAGGGTCCGTTCCTGTGGACGGTCCTGATTTCCTCTGTTTTTCAGAGCTATGCCACTTCCTGCCGTGTCTACTCTTGACCCTTCCTCGGTGTCACAGGATTTATCCGCTATTCTGTTTCCCTCCTCGTAATAATCAGTAGAGAGCAAACCATGAAAGAAAAGAAACATGTCACTTTATCGGTAATTGAAATTACTTTCACGGATTTCAGAATTTTAAACCCACGTCATAGTTAGTCTATGATATGCATTTCAAACCAGTGACCCATCAGGGCATCCCTGTATTCATTTCTCTTTATTTTGTTTACTTTGTTTTAGAAGCTGTGCAACATCCCTTTCTGCTTTGTTTATTTCTTCCTCTTCCTGTTTCCCAAAGGTCAAAGATCAGCCTGGGCAGCAAGGCCTTGTCACATGACTCTGTCTTTGTTTCTGACTCATCGGAGGCCAATGAGGCTCTGGGGGCATCTCAGGACAGCATTCACGGGAAAGTGAAATCACTACAGGTGAATACACATAAAAAGCACACCCGGTCTTTTAGTGTGGAATACGGGTTGACGAGAGGAGCCCAGGTTGAGCTCTCGTGTGTGTGAGTGTGTTCCTTAAGAGGTGGTAAGGTAGGTAAGGTAGTAAATCCCTCTGATGCCGAGGATGTGTAGTGACCCTGACCTCTGACCTGCCTGTGGAGGCAGGAAGGAGGAAAGAGGATTTGACTGCAGGGGTTAATAAGGAATAATAAACGAATAAAGAAGCACAGTCTGTGTGTTTGGACGTGAGGTCGTCTTTGACCCTGTGCTGCACTCAGCTGTCATAAGCAGTTTCGATCAATAAGGGAGTTGACAGAAAAACCAGAGTGGCACCAGCTGATCTCCTGTATATTTAGTTAGTGCGATTCCACCTCGGGGATGTGAATGTAGCATGGCATAGGCCTGCACTTACATCGTAGAGCCGCTACTAAGTGTAATGCCTTATGATGTGGTCAACGTGACAGATGAGGCAGGCGGAGCTGATGTGTGTTACAAAGAGAGGTCACGAGTGCAGCGTGTGTCAAAGCGTAATGAAATGACTGGATGACGATAAGAAAAGCAGACAGACGGGACGAATGTCTGTCACAACAGTGGTGTAAAACGGGAAGACGTGAGACGCAGACAGAGAGAGTGACCTCCAGTTAAACTGCTCCACTAAGCTACATACAGGGGAGTGAGAATTAAAACTACGTCTTAAGGGGATTTGCTGAAAAGGAAAAGTTTCTCCTGTAGCTAAAATACAGAGAAAGCGTTTGTTTGGGGCATGTTTGCAGAAGAGAGGGAATATATTCGTCACACACACACACACACACACACACACACACACACACACACACACACACACACACACACACACACACACACACAGGTGCAGGGTTTGTAGATATAAAACAAATTTCAAGCAAAACAACACAGACATATATCATAGATAAATGTTGAGGTTTTCATAGTTAAGCTAATTCATTTATTTGCATAAACTGAATTTACTGTGGAAAGCAATCTAATGGAGATTTCCTGACCTTAATCTTCACTCTGAGCTGGGCTGCCTGTTTGATAAGCCGAATGAGGTTGTTCCAGAGCCAAATATAAACACATTATGTAAGGATCAATATGTTACTGGGTGCGTAGTTATTAAAATCTGATGAACAGTCCAGGACTGTGAAACGTGTATCGGTCACTCACTGACGTTAATGTTAGATTTTGTGGATGGTCCAAACAGGCTTACGGACGCTTCCCAACAGCTTTGCTAGCATGTCCTGTAACAGTGGAGATACTCACTAAGCAAAATCATTTGACATAAAAACGAGTAACACACGGGTAATAAAAAAGAGAAAAACAGGAAATGCTTTGTCAGTCTTTTCAAAATTAAAGGAGGAGGGACAGTTCAGTACAGAGAATATGATGCTATTGTTAGTTTGTTGGCTTTTTTTTTTTTTTTTTTTTTAAATTTTTTGTCACAAATACCTGCATTATTAGCACATTTTAAAATCATGAATGAAGTCATTAAGGCACAATAAAGTCAGATTAATGTGCAGGTATCTGACTACAAAAACATAAAGATATGTCTGTGTCTATGTCAATTTTAGCTTCTTAGCACAACCTCTAACGTTGAAATAAGCGATTCCTGTGTCTTTATTAGAGCTGAAGCTCCTCTACTTGTCATTGTTTCAGAGTGACTGTAACAACATGGAAGTATTAACATTGAAAACTGTGTGTATTTCTTTTTATCAGGGACCAGGCATGTGCCAGTGTTCAGTCTGGTTAAAGAAAAGCTGTATTGTCCTGTGTTTGCTTTGCGCCTGAGTCAATGAGTCCTTGAGTGACTGTTACAGTGCGACACGTAACAGGCTGATAACAACTCTGTTAGTTTGAGTTTCTGTGATACCCACCCCACACACACGCACGCACACATACACACACACACATACACACGTACACACACACATAAACGCACATGCACACAAAAACCCACACACACACACACACGCACACACACACACAGTGGCTAAAATAAACACTTTCTCTGGTGAGTGCCGGCTGACTTTCCTCAAATGTCAATCTGTGTTAATGATACATAATCTATACTGGTGAGGATGTCAGGACAGTAAAAGCATACCGTTTCTTATTTATTTATTTTTATAAAGCTGTAGTTTATTCAACAGGCCGGTCAGATAGCGCTTCTCCATCTCTACACACACGTAATTTCTAGAAAACACCTTAACCCCCTTCTGTAAAATCTGCAAGTGTGTGTTCCAGGTGTTTGATTCTCAGACCGATTAAATACATTCAGTACATACAAATACAAGTCGCCTGATTGTGTTTCAGCTCCAGTTGAAGCAGGCCATCAGACTGGGCTCTCCTCCATCCCTGATGTGTGTGAAGAAGACAGATGATGCCGGAACCATGTCTGAGGATGACGGTCTACCCTGCAGTCCGCCTGAATACACCACACTACACACAGTCATGGTAACACATGTTATTTCCTCCTGTTACGTCCTCCTGAATGCTGCAGACTGCACTGCTACCACACTTAAACTTATTCTTTTTCTCTCTCTCCATCTCTCAGAATCAGGCTCAGAGGAACAGTTCGATCAGTCTGGAGGGAATAGACAGTGATGACGACCAGGTAAACACACACTTGAAAGAATACTCCTTGATTCTTAGCATGACATATGTGTCCCCATATCAAGAGTGATGTTACCATATATGTCACTTATATTACTATCACATATATACATCCTCTGGATATATGAATATATATATTCATAACATTTATGAAATACCCATTGTAAAATTTGTATATGTACATAAATTTTAAAAAGTCTATATGATGAATTTTTATTTGGTTTAAGATGTTGCGACCATGTGTGTTAATGATATTTATTTGATTTATATATGCAAGTTTATTAAAACAGCTTATATATAAAAAATGTTTATATATGTTTTTAATTTTGAACCATACTGTATCTAACAAGACATACTGACAGGCTTTGGGATGGATATATAGTTACATAACATGTCTACAATATAAGCTTGCATACATAAACATACACATTTGTATGGGCTAGAAATATATGTCAATATATGAAATGGTTCCAACTTCTAATAGTTTTCATATATAATTTTTACACAAATGTTTTTATTTGACATATACATAGTGTCATATATAGAAATTCAATATATGTACATATATTACATTTGTGTATGGGTCCTAAAACACAAGCAAAAGCATCAAAATCAGAGATACCTTTTTTTATTCCATACATTCTTCTTCCTTGTTCCTACATTACCATATTTTGGTCAGAGATTTGGATGCTTTATGCTAGTTGCAGTTAATGTAACCTTGAGCCGCTATCCTCAAGTAAAGTTGAAGCGTAGGCTACAGATGTCTGGGAAGCTCACTTCCTTCTGCACTGCCAGATTTTTTTCATTTTCAAACGTGTAGTCTTCAGCGCAGCCAGCATTGACTCATAAGACATCTGGCTGACATGTTAGCAAACAACTTCCCAACAGACAGAGAAATTATGTTATGATTTTTTTGCCTTTATTTGACCGCGGTAGTAGTTATACAGACAGTGTGTAGTGACAGGGATACAACATGTCATCTTTTGATCAACTGTCTAAAAAAAAAAAAAAAAAAAATCTTTGATTAGTGCAGCTTTTAAGTTTCATCTACAGGTGACTGACTGAGCCTCTTCTGTCAGGCCTTTAAATCAGCTTGATCCAGTTGGTTTGTTATGGACACGGTTTGTCAAAAGTGCAGGAAGAAGTCGGGAACAAAAGGAGCTCACGACAGGAAATCCAGTCTTTCATTTAGAAATTCCTGCCACAAAGAATTTAATATGTTGGACAAACGTACTGACAACGTAACTCCCACATTGCAATGCTAAATATCTGCTTCAAGGAACAAGACTGAATCCATAACTTCTAAACTCCAATACGTGAGGCTAAACAAGTAACCATCCATAGCGTTGTGGGAGAATTCCCCATCAGCAGCCAAACAGTGATCCTAGTGATCTCATGGTTTGATATGTTATTTATAAAGACCAGGAGGAGGAACCTTCGGGCTGTTTTGAGTGTGCAGCTTTGTGTGATTGTGTCATTTGCCTCAGGTGACCACAATGGTAAAAACATCTCATGATCCAGTACTGAAACACTACCAAAAGCCCCCCTGGCTTTTGGTAGTGTTTCAGTGATTAGACTGGATCTTTTTCCCTATTTCCCCCCTCTCTCTTCCACTTTTATCATTCTCCTAATCCCCATTCTTTCTTACTCTCTTCTCCTTTTACCCTTTGTCAGTCTCCTGACCTACTGTGTGTGCTTGTGGGTCAGCCCATGTGACTTAAAATGTCACACTTGCTCCCTAACGACACGGTCAGTTAAAACAGCTCACTAAAATGAGTACTTTATGGATGGACGTAAAGTAGTGCCAATTTGTGATAAGACAAATGTCCTAAAAATCTCAACTATCCATTTAGTCACGCTGGCTATAATGTGGGCTAAAAGCACAGTCAGCAAAGTATGACAAATGAGCATTTAATAATAGTGCAGTTTTAGCAATTTCAGAAGGATTTTGGGCACTCATTTCCCACTGAAGAGAACCACAAATGGCCAGCTACAAAGACATGCATGCAAAAACCTGAAAATATCCCCTTTTAAGTGCATTCCACACACAGGAATGTGGTCAAGGAGGACTGCAGTGACTTATGAATTGCAGTCGCAGTGGCATTTTCTGGAGCTTTTCCATCCACTGAGAACTCATGACAGACTTCTTGGAGACACACAATGTTTTTTTGAGATTTGAAAATGAAAATGAAGTTGATTTCACTGCAGCACTTATTGTTTTGAGCAAGACAGTTTATCCATATGAGACTAAACTCGGTCAAAGTATCTGGGTCTGTCTTAATATTTACCGTAAATAGAAAGAGTGCAGGCTTTTTCGACATATAGGAAGGACAGTGCTCAGTTCTTCAGTTTGTGACTAAAATATCCAGCATCATATCATCTTATGGTCGTCTCAACAACAGATATTTCTCAAGTTCCATCTGCACTAATCAATATTTCTATATTAGCAATGGATCAAATAACTGTGAGAAATGTTAAAGGAGTCACTTGTGGTAACAAACCCAGAGAATCATTACCCAACTCTGCCATTCCACTCTGCTCTACGGAGCATTTTAGCATCTTTCAGCTCATTGTTTTGTTTGTTTTGGTTCAATCTCATCGCTCTCAACATCAGCATCTTTTCTAGCAGGAGCAAGCAGCAGTTTTTCAAAAAGGGGTGATAAACCCACTGTATGCTACCTCGGCAAAAGCTGACAGACAAAGCTGGCGACTAGCTGGTGAACATAGCCTTAGCATTTAGCCGCTAAGAGCGGTATATTTTTTATCTGGAGACCAAAACAGAGCTAAAAGGAGAGTGAATATTGGACTCAGATTCATTAGGTGACTATAAACTTGAGTCTAATGAATGCTAATATTACTACATGTCTGCTAGATGTGTAAATGAGCAAGTGTTTGCTAACATGTTAAGTCATATCAATTTTATAAGGCAATACTGTTGCAGTGTTGAGTATAGCCTATGGCTTGTTTCTAAAAATGCCTGCAGGAGACATAATAGAGCTTTTGATTAAGTTAAGATCAATTTGTGAGACTGAAGATGAAGAATGTGAAAGAAACAGTCCCTCAAACAACCTTAGATCAACTCATTTCTTCCCATGGGACTGAAACTTGAATAGACATATCCTTCTTTCTGTGCCGGTGTTTTATGTGCTGTCTGGAAACACATAGTGTAATTAAAGTTTTCTTAAATAGAATAAGTCAGATTTCCATCTGAGGGTTAAACTTTCTTCTTCAGCTCTGATTCATGCAGCAACTTCACAAACACATACTGTTATTGTCATGTGCTTAGTGTGTGATGCTTGAAGATGGTCTGTGTGTGTGTGTGTGTGTGTGTGTGTGTGTGTGTGTGTGTGTGTGTGTGTGTGTGTGTGTGTGTGTGTGTGTGTGTGTGTGTGTGTGTGTGTGTTGGTGAGAGCCTTCTCCCTCTTTCTCAGTTTCCTTGTCTGTATTTCTGACCTTTTCTCTCTTTTCTCTCACTGTAATACTGTGTGTGTTATTCCAGTGATCTACTGTGTGTGTGTGTGTGTGTGTGTGTGTGTGTGTGTGTGTTCAGAGTGCATTCCACTGGTTTCTCTGGAAGTCAGCATGTCTGCTTGTAGTTATATTAACATTCAGAATCTGCCTCAGTTTGCCACACACACACACACACACACACACACACACGTTAATCTCCATAAATAAACAAATCTAGATGTCAACAAAGAAGAACTGTGCTCATATTCCTGTGGATGGCACATATTCTCCCAGTCCAGGTATGAGTCAGATAATTGAATGTGAGTCTTAAAGGGCAAGTTCACCCAAATCACAGACCTTGTTGTGGATAGTTTTTGAGCATTTTTGGTAAAAACAGTTCCCAAATACAGAATTTAGTTCCCCGAAACTGTCATTGCAATCCTTTAGTTAGCCCGAGCGTGTGTTGAGGTGTCAAACTGGGAAGAATTTGGATGAGGAAGTTGAAATAAGTCAAAACGTGAATGTGAAAGTAGAGAGAGGGATACTTCTCCGGTGATGACAGAGTAAGTGTTGGTCCTGCAGATAAGGACAGCTAATATTTATACAGCTGGACTTCCTTTCTCTCACTCTCTCGCTGCTGGTCTCGCTTTATTTCCTCTGGTTTTTTTTTTATCAGCTGCCTTCATCGTTTAAGTGAAAATCCACCTTTTAACACACTTGCACAACACTCCCTTCTTTCCAGGCCCGATGCTGGGCTGTTAAGTTTCATAACGCTGGAAACAAGACTAAGAGTGATGACTCAAATCTGTAAATTGAGCAGCTGTGTCTGGAGCTGCTCCACTGGGAAACAATGGGAGACAGACTTTGAGGATACAGTGGCGCGTGGATATAATTTCCTCAGGACATGGGTGGACAAATCCTGGTTTTTGTCAGCGGAGCTTCTCCAGATGATGACACACATATGTATATGAGTGCTGGTTGTTTGGAGTCCAGCTGTAGCAGGGGGTTAATTTACCTGTATTCACAAATGTCTGAAGAGTATTTCCTCTGTGAAACAATTTGTTTGTGAAACTTTTTAGTGAAACCTTCTGTCCGTGTTTGTCTCTCTTGTCTTCCCAGCTGTCCTGTGCAGCCTCCAGTAGAGCAATGAGCCCCCTGGTGGTTCCAGGGGACTTCAGTCAGCCGGCCAGTCCCTTCGCCTGTCTGGACAACTCTGCTGCCAAACACAAGCTGGGCCTGAGACACAAAGCCTGCAACAGGAGGAAACCTGCCAGTGTAAGAAACTCACACACATGCAAATATACTGACACAATCACAAATACACCCAATACATGTCTTTTAAAGGACCAGCTCATTTTATTACAACATGGGTTTTAATTTAATAGTTTTGTTTCATTCAGTTATCAGAAACTTCTTTCTTGGTAATGGCTGAGATCTGAGATATCTTGTCATCACTGCGACAGCTGGGGAAATACAAGAAAAACCGGCAGCTTAACCAAATCAAATGAATCACTTTTTTTTTTTTTTTTTTTTTTTTGGAAGTAAAACCAAAAGTAATAGTCCCCTATCCCAGAGAACATACTGTGTGTGCACAGCCACAATACGTACTGGTGGTCAAACTCAAACTAAGAAGTCAGTCTGTAAACTGTCATGAGTCAGTTTGGGTTGTAATTTTGGTGTTTCCCTCGGCTTCGGTTAACCTGGACTTGTGTACAGCCTGTTTCTTGCCCCTTCAGGCTTCATTTTAGCAATATTGACGTGTTACGATACCTCAGCCATTTACACGAAAAGCACAGAGTTATTATTACCAATAGAAACAATGACCAAAAATAAACACATAAAACCCAGGGTGTGTAAAAAGGGAATCATTCTTTAATCTTCCCCAGAGTCACATTTTGCCTGCTGCAGCAACAGCTCAGTTTTTCTACAAAAATCAAGTCAATATTTTTTATCAATTTTATGGCATTTACACATTTATAAACCCAATGAATGGGGTCAAAATGTTCACGTCTGAGGTTCATCCAGTCACAAACGAAGTGTTTAGAACAGCATATTCAGTTTTATCCAATTCCAAGATGTGTGTTATAAATTATGTGTTTATGACCTTTTTGCTGGATCAAAAAAGAAGGGGTGGAGCCAGAGGTTAGGATCAGCCATAGAACCGGTGCTCTGCTCGGTGGACCTCAGCAGCACAGATGACTGACACTTTAGTAGATTTTGAATCTTCTCTCTAACTCGATCAGTGATTTGATAACTTGATGGTGGTCTGAGGGGTAAATGATGATGCTGACATCATTGTTAATGTGTTGTGTCGATGCAGAGGCTGGAGATGAAAACGGAGGGAGACTCTGTGGTGGACGAGATGCTGAACAGCTCCATAACAGAAGCTTTGGAGGAGCAAGAACAAGAGATGACAGAAGGTCAGGAGGCTTTTATTTCATTCAAATCAAATGTATTGAAGTCTCTGATTATCAATATTAAAAAAGTTTATTGTTTAATCAAATTGAAATTTTCTATCCAGTCGGGGTGTATGTTTGAGGTATGACAGAAATTTAAATTTCGATAACCAATTATCCTTCTCAGATTGGAAAATGAAAAATTACTGCCAAATTTATCATTAAAATAAATCCTTTTCAGTTTGTTCCTGATCCTAACACTGCTATAAGAACAGTGAAACGTGACTATTTACGATCTAAAACTTTAATTGCACTAATGAAACATTTCCTGAGTTTACATAATGGTTAATTGAGAGATTTCAAAACGAGGCCTGGGAGAATCCTGTTATTGTGAACATTTTCAGTTACACTAGAAATGATCTAAAATCTATGATCTAAAATAATGAATTTAATTTTAATATTGGCAGCCACAGACCTCCATAATCTTGCTGCCACTGTGTGATATCAGATCGATCTCTGAGACCTTTTGTTTCTGCCTGTAATCCAGCTGTAAGTTTTGATGACCTGAAACCAAAAGTGAAGAGGGACGAGGAAGAAGGAAAAGAAGAAGAAGAAGAAGAGGAGGAGGAGGAGGAGGAGGAGGAGGATGAAGATGAGCAGGAGGAGGAAGAGGAGAAAGAGCAACCACAGCATTCCAGACAATCCCTGTTGAGAGATAAGGAGGAGAGGGAGGAGGGAGAGGATGAGCCGGAAGCTGAACAGGATGTTTCTCACAGCCCGGACACTTCCTCTCCTCCTGAGCCGAGTCTCTCAGAGGAGGAAGCCCCCGAGGCCCAGCCCCTGCCCTCCTCCAAGCCCAGCTCCAGAGCCTCCTCTCTGGACAGTCCCAGGTGACTAGACATGATTTCCTCCTTGTTCTCTCCTCCTCACAGTATGAATTATTTTTGTTATCTTCCCCTGGCAATCTGACGTCTTTTGATTTCTGCTTCCAGAGTCACACCAGAGCCCCCTGCTGGTCCAAGAGAGTATCTACTCAACCTTCCGAGTATTTCCTACGGAGCAGAGGAGAACAGAGGTGGAAGTGAGTTGGCACTGAGAGCAGAAGAAGATGGAGTCCAGGAAAACAGGGAGGAGGAGAGCTCCTTCTTACAGGAGGTACTGAGTTCCCTGAAAACTCCTCTCGCATCTTCCTCGCTGGGCGTCGCCACTGAGGGCGTCGTCCTGGAGATGAAGGAGGTGACAAAGGAAAAGGAAGAAGAAGAAGTAGAGATAGAAGATGGGGAGGAGGTGAAGGAAGAGGACGCAGAGGTGGATGAGCATGTCGGATATCAGACTGCTCCGTCGGCCCCTCTGGTGGGTCACACCACCGAGGAAGAGGAGGAGGATTCCACTCCTTCCTGTCAAGAAGAAGAGGCAAAAAGTGAAGATGAAGAAGCAGAAGAAGAAGAAGAACTAGTTGTGGAACGATTCGGTCCACTTAGTGTATGTATTTCTGATTTAATTTCTAGTATTGTGATTTAAGTAGCTTTAAAAAATTATTACCAACTACTGAACTGTAAAAGTTGTCATGACTACTTGCACCTCTTGTACATGACACTGATACGGTGACCAAATATTACTTTTACTTTACGTTTCAGAATAAGTATTAATAAGTTCATAAATCATTTGAATAATAAAGCATTTTAAATGAAAACAATAAGCTCAAGAGGCTCAAACACTCTGTAGAAGTGAAGTGTGAAACTGTAGAGTCAGGAGATAATTTTCTGTGGGTTTGTCACTACTAGCAACAGCTTTCACAGTGTTCACATTATCCAGTAAGTCCTCCATATCTCAAGAGCCAAGACGTTGTTTTCCTTGCACTTCAGAGCGACAGAGAGGAGGGTGGGATGGGGAGGATGACATCATTTGTCCGTGCTTTCCAAAACTGCTGCAAACCACATTGAAAAATATGTTTATTTTATGATGTGACATCTCTTTAGTTAAAGCTTTGGTTAGATTTAGGTCAGAAAACAACTTGGATAGGCTCAGGGAAACATCGTGGTTTGGCCTGAAAAGACGAGGTGCGTCGTCATGGTTACAATATGAAAAGCGGTTAAGGTTAGGGAACAATTGTGGACACTCTTAAAAAACAGACCTCTGCTTTTTCTTATTTTTCTCTCTCCTTTGTTTTCCAGCAGGACGAAGAAGAAGAAGAACAAGTAGAAGCAGAGGAAGAGGAGGTGGAGGAAGTCAAACCTGAGGAGATATATGATATACTTACAAGAAAAACTGACATCCAGGAACATGAGGAAAGACAGGAGAAAGAGAGCGAGGAGGCGATTGAGCTGGAGAAGGAGCCAGAGGTGGAGGAGGAGGGATGGGAGAAGATAGAAGAGGACGAGGAGGAGGTGAAGGCCAAGGAAGTAAGCATGAGGCTGGAGGAGGCAGAGGAGGTAACTGAGGAAGAAAGGGAGGACGCAGAGGAGGCGACGGAGACCTTCTATGATGCAGCAGTTGAAGAAGTTGGAAATGCCATGTCATTGCAGGAGGCAGATGAAGGTGCAGACGACACTGTGTACGCCGCGAAACACACAAGTGATGATGAAACCCCGACAGAACCGGCGGATCAAGTGCTCGCCAAAGTGCTGGAGGGGCAAGAAAACCGCGAGACAGCAGAGGAACGTGTAGAGATCGACCACTCAGAAGAAAGATCAGAAGAAGAAGAAACAAACCAACCTGATGTGGATGAAACTGAACAAGAAAATGTAGAAAACTCCTATTTAGACACCAAACAAGTGGAAAAAGATCAAACTGAAGCCACAGAACAAGCTACTGTTTCCTCCAAGCTGCCTTCTTTGTCTCTTCCAGAGTCACACCATGACACCCAGTCTCCAGACAGTGGCACCGTCTCTCCCAGTAAGACCAGCACCACCACTATCCACATAAATCTAGTCTCTCCCAGCTTCGAGAAAGTCACACCTTTCTTCCCACAGTCCCCAACCGCTGGACATCTGGGAGAACATGTCACCGGGTCACCTTCTCACGAACAGCATGCAGCATCCAGAGATGAAGAACGAGCTGACGCCGTGGAGGAAGTAGAAGAAGAGAGACAGTCCGCCCTGGAAGAACAAGCCACACCTCCTGCCTCAGTGGAGGAAACAGTCAACCAGCCGTCCAGTAGTTCAGATCAGATTAAAGCCCGCTTCACCGTCGCCCCCGCCTGGCAGAGATCACAAAGTCTGACTCCTCCCTCCTCTCCACCCGCCTGCGTCTCCTCTGCGTCATCTGCCTTCACAGCGCATGGAGGTGAGGAGGTGGAGGCTACAACCAAGAAGGATCCAGCTGTGAAAGCAGAGCCAGCGAGTTCAGCTAAGGTTGAGCTGGTGTTGAGTCCTGGTAGAGCGAGGAACGCTGAGAGCGCCGCCGCCAAACCGCAGAGCAATGCATCTCCATCCTCCGTTAAACCTCAGACCTCAGCTGCTGCGAGCACAGAAGGTAGAGACATTAAACATGATTATTGGTATCATTTTATAAGTTGCTTCTCTCGTTGTCTCTTCCAGGGTTGATTCAGTGTCCTCAGCTGTAATCACATGTCCTATTTTCACTATGACCCACACCTTCTGTTTTCCAGTCACATGAGCTGAAATGTCTGTTTGACTTAAAATAAAATCCAACCACAGACCGACTTTTCCACCTCCCACCTACAGAGAGCTCAGTCGTGGGGGAGGGAAACCCCGACAATCCGTTCGGAGTCCGGCTGAGGAAGACGTCGGCTCTGCAACGCTTCAGCTCGGAGGAGGAAAACGCAGAGGTGACGGCCCCCGACTGTGTTGTTGTTGTTGTCGTTGTGGTTGACTGCTTGTTTCTGAGTGCGGTTTTAAATGTTTTATGATTTCATTTATTTCATTTCACACAAATCAGAAATAAAAATAGAACATAAGTATACAAACATGATAATAGCAATGGGTGAAAATGGGACACCCCAATAAGCCTCAAAAGCTTGTGAGCAGGGGCCCAGTCCCTGCACGTACCAAATACAATTTCAGCCACAAAATACTTAAATCCTAATAATAATAACAATAATGATAATAATAATAATAATAAAAACTAAATGGTCAAAACATCTATCCCATCAGTCCATATATCTATTTAATAGGCAAGACACACGATCAAAACAAACGGATGTGGGTGCCTGGATCAAGCCCACACATTGAACTGTTCTCGTCTACTCCCGAGAAGACGTTTGCTGGAGTTTATGAAGTTCTCTAAACTAGTTGCCTGTGCCTGATGCATATTGATGAGCCAATCAGCAACTGCCAAGACATATGTGATATTTGTGGGGCTAGTTCCCTCTATCCTCTACCTGCAGTCGTTAAAATGAGACAAATAGAGTTTGAATGCGGAGTCAATGAAGGAGGCAGGGAACAGATCATTAGCTTGTTAGTCTTTATTTATTAACTATCTGGTTTTCTCTTATTCAGTCTCCCATCGAGTCTCCAATTCAGCCAACCAGCTGTAAACCTGAGCCGCCGCAGCCAATCAGCGTGAAGCCCTCTGTAAGTCAGCCAATCAGTAACAAGCCTGCCCTCCCCAAGAAGCCAGATGTACATGGAGACAGTGGAGGAAAACCCAAGCGTATCTCAGGTGTGTATGTATATGAACACAATGATTTACAGCTGTCTTACACATACAGTAAGGTGCTCAGCTGTAATAGTCCGACACTTGGGTTAAATCAGACATCGGCCCCTGGCGTGACAGTGTATCTGCTGTGTTATCGATTCAGACCCAGCTGCAGCTCGTGGTGTTTCTGGTGGACCCGATTCTCCCAGCTGGATCTCTGTGGCCAAACAGAAACAGAAGATCTATAAGGAAAACTCGCAGGATGAGATCACAGTCAAGAAGGTAAACTGTGTGTGTGTGTGTGTGTGTGTGTGTGTGTGTGTGTGTGTGTGTGTGTGTGTGTGTGTGGTCATACATGTCTTTTATGTGGACTACAGAAGTTGTCATGAAGGCGGGCCAAAGGAAAACACCAGTGTTTAGGTTTGTGTTTCCAACTGTCTAAAAATACAGTCCTCAGCTGGAACTGCGTTCAGATCATTGTCTTCGCTGTTGGTTTGTCCCCTCTTGCTTCCATATATGTGCAGTACATCACCACACATTTCCAGCCACTTGGTGTTCTAGACATCAGCGTTTATCCAGAACCTGTATAAGTGACTGTGCTGCCCTCTGTTATCAGGAGGAACAAGAGAGGAAGCCTTCACTGCCCATGTACGTCAGCTCGGCTGCGAGCAGGGAGCAGAGCAGCAAGACAGCTGAATCCAACAGCAAAGGTCAGAACACACAAACACACACATGCACACACACATACACACACACACACACACACACACAGGTCAATAAACTGGATTCACTTTCAAAAAACACATCAATCGCAGCGTGGGAGCATTTCAGCTGGCTTTATTTTGGTTCGTACACTTGAACATATGTAATCCACTCTACAAGATGAACACACATCAGATGTTTCTAAAAGTGACCACTTCACTTGTTGTTTGTTCAGACTTGTTGCATGTCGGTTGGTTTTGACTGGTGTAACACTGCCCTCCTCTGTTCAGTCTCTGCCACTGCAACTGATCCCACTACACTCACCGTGGTTCACCTTTTATTACCAATCATAATGTGTGCTGGCTGAGCTGATGTGTTGATTACACATCACAGCCGACATCGCTGATCAGGCTGGCAATTTGACCGAAATACAGTGTTTTTTTTTTTTAATTGATGAAAAAGTATAATTGTTAAAGAATACAAATTATAGATGTGGGAATGGTAAAACCCTCCTGGTGTAGAATAGAGAATAAAGAGGGAAAACAAACCACAGATCACCACACTGATGAATTGTGCTGTTTTACATAATATGACTGTTCTTCTCTCCGCTGTGTAATCAGTGTGATTGCTTCTTATTCTCCTGCGCCTCTTTCGCTCACCTGTGACTCAAAACTGATTATGCTCCTGATACCACGCATATATTGTTAAATATATAATTTGATACAGGTTCCTGCATTTGCATAGAACTGCATATTTATTGAGCTCTTCCTGAAAATCACACACTATTGGTATGCATCTCCTCCTGCAGCTCAAATCAGGCGTAAGTCTTTGTCGGTGGCTGCCATGATTGATAGAGTTTTTATTTACTATTTACTATTTAATAATAATCCCATAGGCACCCATTGTATTTCTATCTTGATCACTGTATACAGCACAGACTCCATTCATATTTTACAATTTCCATTATTGCACACAGATCAACTGTGCATGAGGTCATTATGATACCATGTGCAGCTAATGCATTATTATGAGTGGTGAATGGTTGGAAGTCTATATATACATTGCATATATACAGTAACTCATTACACAGTACAAGTACAGTTATTAAATCCTTATGTAGACGTGTTTTAAAGCCTCCATTCACGTCCTCTACACGTCGCATCTACAACTCAGCAAATACACTAAGATCAATGAGTTTTCATATGATTATAAAGTCATCCAAAGATCAGACCAGTCTGCATCACTGCTTCTCTACTTTGTCTGTGTTTGACGTGTGTGTGTGTTTCTTTTTTTCCTCCAGTGAGTACGTTGGAGATCAATAAGCCTTCAGCGTCTGTAGAGAAGGAGGCGAGGAGAGCTCTCTCTCCTCCAACTCCAGTGCCACCTCAGCCTTCAAAAGCCCCGTCGCTGCCCTGTCCAGTCCCTCCGAAACCCCAGGTTCCCCCGGCCAGCACAAAACCTCCACCCCAACTCAACCCAGACCACAAATCCCTGTCACCCCCTACGCCGGTTCCTGTTCCCCAAAAATCTCCCTCCTGCACAAGCCCTCCGTCTCTCTCCAAAACGGCCTCCTCCGCACCTTCCTCCAAGACGCCCCAGCCCCAGAGTACGACGGCCTCCCCCACTTCTTTTTCATCGAGAACCGCTCCGGAAAAGCCTGGTTCGAGAGCTCCGGGTCTTTCTGGTCAGAGCCCGTCCTCCCAGCGAGGCCCGCCTCCCCCTGCTTTGCCCCAGGATGAGCCTCCATGGATGGCGCTGGCCAAGAAGAAGGCCAAAGCCTGGAGCGAGATGCCCCAGATCGTACAGTGACGGGCCAGGTTTAAGTAAGTTTGTGTACAGGGGCCTGAGCAGGCTCAAAAGAGGACTGAAGAGGGTCACATCTGAAAGGGGGTTGAAGTGGGTCTGGATGCGCCAGAATGCATTTGCACACAAAGAGTTGTTGTTGTTGTCTGTTGTTTTCTTATTGTCCTGGCTTCAGGCTTCAGATTGGTAAAAACTCTCCAATCACGCAGCTAAAGACAGGCTCTGTTTAACCCCCGTCTCTCTTCACGTCCTTCTGTTGTACAGTCGTGTTTTCTAAATGACAGGGTAGGACCCCCTAAAGTTAACGCGTCTCACTTAAAGTGGATCCAGATTTTTCTTGTTTTTCAACAGTCTTAGTATGCTATAAGGTGCCTGAATGAGAGAAAATATAACAGTAAATATTATTTTTGATTCCAGCTGATATCACATAACATTTCAGGGAAGGAAGAAGGACACTTTATTTTATACAGAGGAAACTTTATTCACAGAAGAACGAGACAAATTAAATCTTGGGGTTAGCAATTCATTTTAGTCTGTCTGAAGATCGAGTGGACAGGGTGCTGTTTTTCTGTCAGTCTCAGTGTGTGTGTGTGTGTGTGCGCGTGTGTGTGTGTGTGTGTGTGTGTGTGTGTGTGTGTTTATTTTAAGGCAGTGATACATGCCCACATTTTGAGGAATGCTGAAAATCGTCATGTCCAGAGAGTAAAAAACGGGACAACATTCAAGTTAAGCTGGAGGAAAAAATGTGCTGAACTAACTGCTGCTGGTCATGAGTTCTGGTCACGGCTCCTCTGTGTATCAGGTTCTGTAGACAAATATATTTCCTATAACGTGATCCACAGATACTAAACTAACCATGTTTGTTGTGTTAGCGAGTGCCGAGTGTCTCCAACATGTTTCAGGTTTTCAGTGTAAATTATATTTTTAATTTTCTCTTTTGATATTTTGAATACGTAACTCCAGATCATCTGTCAGCGTCCTACAGAAATCTAAGAGCTCCAAAAAGTCAGCTGTTCAGGAATTTAAACAAAACTATCATTACACTGACCGTCGTGTCTTTTTAATATTTTTTTACTGCATCATCATGTTGGCAGCGTGTTGTGGGTTATTAAATGTTTTCCAATTACAACCAAGCGTGTAAATAAATCAATAGACATAATTAACTACTTGGAGATTGTTTGTTTGTTGCAGGATGAAAGTTTCCTTCGTATCGATTAATTATCTATCACACAGTAACTATATATGTTTTATGCATTTTGTTTTATTTTGTATTGCCTTTTGAGAATTTGTCTTGTACATAAAATGTGCAGTAAAGAACAAATTAAATCACTTTTTAACGTGTTTTTATTTGTCATTCGTCTGAATGTCGATACACAGTTTCAGATATGGAATCATAAAGGAAATATATTTCAATTTTTTATATATTTTCTTACAGCGTAAAACAACCGAGAGGAGCCATCCACTGCACAATATATCACCATGCCTAACTGCCTGATGGAAACATTAGCATGTACATTCTTCTTCTAGCATATCCTTGGATGTCTTCTTCTTTTCCAGGTACTTTCTATAGGCCATAGATGCTAATGAGGACACTGAGGTTGTGATTTGTGAGTTTTATGAACCTCAGGGGAGTTTTTATTGTATGATTAATTCCTAACAATGGTATAATGGCTTACATTTTTTTTAAATAAATTGATTTAAAAAAACAAATGATTCGAAAATATTTGAATATTTGAAGCATTTGAAGCATAAAATATCCATCTCCAACATAATGGCTTTATTCAAGAGGAATAATTTGAAAGATAAAATCATCTGCGTGGAAAGGCAGTTTCCTGTCTTGTAGATAAAGCGTCACCAGAAACAGCCTTATGTACAATTAAAATGCGGTTAAAGGGATACTACATTTTGTTATTGTACTTCCATAAGGCAAGGGTCACAGATTTAAAAAAAAAAAGAAAAGAAAAGTCAAAATCAAAGCAGCAGCTGAGATGTCCTGACTTTGAGTCTCTAGTACAGGTCAAGCTCAGAAAGCGCTGGAGCGTTCATTTCCCATCATGCACCTGAATACCACTGTTCTTAAGGCCGAACGATGACTTGTAAACTAATGACTGTCTCTGGGGTTTTTTCTCAGGTTTAAATTTCTGAGGAGAAACAGTCAGCCTGACTTCATTAACACCTTATGTCTCTGTTCAACCCGGCTCACACAAACCAAAGTGTGAGGGCGACAAGCTGTGGTTTTAGTTTTGAGTTTCATGTTGTAAAGTTAATGTCATGTTGCCAAGTTAAGTTTCACCTGGCTGCGGCTTCATATTTACAGACGTGAGAGTGGAATCAATCCTCTTGTCTAAATATCAACGAGAAGGCAAATAAGTATATTTTCTTAAATGTTGGACTGTTTCTTCAACAGTGACAAAATAAATGTTTTTCAGGCTTTAAAAGTTGTCACTGTCAAGCAGCTGATGAAGTGAAACCCACTGTGGTCAGATTGTCTGCAGGCTGCGTTCAAGTAAAACAGGAATGTTAAAACACATCAGCAGCTCAAACTTTGTAATTAACCACTCTAATCAAACTAAAACACACTAATGAGACGTCTCCGGTTACTTTTAACTAGTGTTGCCATTTCACTCCACAGAATTTGACATAATATATAATCATCATGATCATTTTAAACTGATGAAGTTAAACTGAGTGTCTTGAACATTCACTGGACACTCCTGGAATTTACACACATGTGCATGTGTGTGTTTGTGTGTTTGTGTGTTTGTGTGCTTTTCGTTTGTGTGTATGTGACTTTGTGCTCGTGTGTGGCCAGAACTTGAGCCAAATGTTTGTGTGCTGGCCTGTACAGTGAATGTTTTCATGTGCATGATTGATTGTCCCTGTGTGTGTGTGTGTGTGTGTGTGTGTGTGTGTGTGTGTGTGTGTGTGTGTGTGTGTGTGTGTGTGTGTGTGTGTACAGGAAGCTGTAATCAGTGAGAGGGCTGCTTAAACCAGATGTCTTTTCTGGGTGAGTTAGGTAACGCCGCTGCTGCCCTACTTCTGATACACACACTATCACACACACACATGCGGCTCCAAAGTGGACCAGCCAAGATGTACAATGTGTGTGTCCATGCCAAGTATCCATGGCGATGACTGCTGGGTGCTGACCTTCTCATTTACAGGTTATATAACCAACCAACTTGGCAAAACTCAGAAGCACAGAGGTGAGGAGAGGAGAAAGAGGAGAGGAGAGAGAGGAGAGGAGAGGAGAGAGAGGAGAAAGAGGAGAGGAGAGAGAAGAGAGAGAGGAGAGAGGAGAGAGGAGAGAGAGGAGAGGGGAGAGAGGAGAGAGAGGAGAGGAGAGGAGAGAGAGGAGAAAGAGGAGAGGAGAGAGAAGAGAGAGAGGAAAGAGGAGAGAGGAGAGAGAGGAGAGGGGAGAGAGGAGAAGAGAGGAGAGGGGAGAGAGGAGAGAGAGGAAAGAGGAGAGAGGAGAGGGGAGAGAGGAGAGAGAGGAGAAGGGGAGTGTAGGGAGGGAGGGCAGGGAGAGACGCAGGAGGGTGGGGAGGGAGAGGGGGAAGGTAGTGGGGTGGTGGGCGTGGTAGAAGAGGATGGAGGAGTGTGTGGAGCAGGCAGTCCTTTTCCTGTTTTTTTTTTTCCCCCCTTTTCTTCTCCTCTCCTCTCCTCTCTCTCCTCCCCTTCCCTCATCTCTCCTCTCTCTCCTTCTCCTACTCCTCTCTCCCTCTCCCTCCTCTCCCTCTCCTCCTCTTCCTCTCCTCTCCTCTCTCTCCTCTCTCCTTTCCTCTCCTCTCTCTCCTCTCCTGCCCTCTCTCTCTCTCTCCTTCCCTCTCTCCTCTCTCTCTCCTCTCTCTCCTCTCCTCTCTCTCTCTCTCCTCTCTCTCTCTCTCTCCTCTCCTCTCTCCTCTCTCTCTCCCTCTCCTCTTCTCTCCTCTCTCTCTCCTCTCCCTCTTCTCTACTCCTCTTCTCCTCTCTCTGCTCTCCTCTCCTCTCCTCTCTCCCTCCTCTCCTCTCTCTCCTCTTCTCTCCTCTCTCCCTCTCTCCCCTCTCTCTCCTCCTCTCTACCTACCGCTAGTATCCCCTTCTTCTCCTTC